GATGGGATGGGATGGGATGGGATGGATGGATCGATTATGTGTACTTACGTACATACGTATGTACATCATCATGCCTGCCTACCTGCCTGGCTGCCTGCCTGACTACCTACATACATGCATACATACCTACATACATACCTGCATACATGCATGCTGCATACATGCATACATGCATACATGCATACATGCATACATACATACACACAGAGATACACACACATACATACATACATACATACATACATACATACATACATACATACGTACATACATACATACATACATACATACGTACATACATACATACATACATAAATACATACATAGGTACATACATACATACATACATACATACATACATACATCCATGCATGCATGCATACATCGCCGTACCCACACACGCACACACACACACACACACACACACACACACACGCATATACACATGCGCCGTTACACTGTCCTATGCAGCATGGCTCCGGCCTGCTTCTCATGCTGGCAGCGTGCGGTTGCTCTCGTCCTCAAAACGACATCTGCCGACCACGCTTCTTCTGCAACGGTAAGCATATACTTGGCAAGTGGAGAGAGGTTGTCCAAGCTCATGCTTGAGGCGTGAAATCTTTGAGCCCTTGGAGCTCTGAGTCTCCCAGATATCCTAAACCTGAAGCCTCTTAGGATCTCTTAGGCCGTGGCCTTCTTATGCTTGGGCCGGCTTCGACTGCGGCTACGGCTGGGCGATCGCCGCCGCCGAGCCTGGCCACTTCAGTTCAGACTGGGCCCTGAGGGCAGTGTTGTACGGCTAAAGGACAGGGTTTCTATGAGGTCTTTTAAGGATTATTTAGGGGCTTCAATCAGCAAAACACGGGTTGCGGGCTATGTTACAGCAGTATAGTAATCTTCTAGGGAGAATTGTCCCGACCCCTGCATTGCCAGGATCACCCTCTGATCGGCCTGTTGTTGCTCAAGAGGTTAGCGGCAGGAGGAGGCGAGGTCCAAAGTAGGACCCCGAAACCCTAAACCCTCAACCCTAAACCCTAAACCCTCAACCCTCAACCCTCAACCCTAAACCCTAAACCCTAAGCCCTTTGGGTGCTTCGACCTGTCGACTTCGGCTGGCCGACCGGCTGCGAGAAGCCTCCGAGCGTTCAGGATTCCTTGAGGGGTTCTGGAAGGGCTCCTTTGAGCTAGAAGGGCTCTTGAGGGGTGGCAAGGGCTCCTCTGTGAGTCTATTCTTAGAAGGGTTCCTTTGAAGGTTCTAGAAGGGTTACTTTCCCTTTACGGTTTCGGACTCCGGGCTGCGTTGGTTGTAGAGAGTACTCACGGGCTGTACAATTTTGGTAAACGTTTTTATGATTGGTGTACATTATTTTTCCAATTGTTTAAAATGAAAAGTTTTTTTTTGAAAAGAATTAAATCTACGATAAAAAATTATATTATGGAATACAAAAATATTTTCGAGCATGATTTTTTAAGGTTTTTAGAAGTTATTTTTTTAAATCTATTGTTGTAATTGTGTTTCTCACCGTTTCACAAAATTTAGTTAATCTTGAAAGTCACTTAGGTATATTTTATACCTTTCCATTTGAAATTTTTTAAATAGAGTCATTGTTATACATTTTAACACAAATATTTAATTCACTTTTTATCAATTTGAATTTTATACATTTATATTTTAGAATTTTTGACAATATATTTGCGCAAAAAAGAAGATTTTTTCCTTTATTATAATCTATTTTTTTATTTTTTTATTTTGTTTTTTTGAACAATTACTGCAATATTTAATCCTGTTCGTTTATCAATTTTTCTTGGTTGAACGTCCAAAAAATATTAATAAATACATTTGAAAGCTTTAATAACTGGTGTAAAAAATGGAAATTGACATTAAACAGTTCATAAAATCATTGGACAAAATTCCTTCCAAATAAATCCAACGAAACAAATATATATAATCCATATTCTATTAAAGTATACACAAATAATTCATATCATAATAATACATTTTTTATTTGTTATCAAAAATATGATGGTAAACAAATTAATTCATATAATCACAATTTTTATCAAGTATTCAATATCGTTTAAATAGCACAAAATGTGTTGCAACTGGATATTCTCCGTTTCAAATGTTGTTTGGATTCATCTATTCACTTCTTTCTTTTTTTGTTTTCATTCCTTTATTTAATTTTTTTATAATTTCATTTTATTGTAATTTTTTGATAAATATTTTAATATATCATAAAATGACTGAATTTGCATTGTAAATCTGAAGTGTGGAAATATTTTTGACTTATTTTGACTAGGGTTTTGTTGGTTCTAGTATTCTGCTAGGCTTATAAGGCATGCATAGGGCTTTGTAGAGGCTAACTGAACAGAACTCACCACTCGGAAAGGTAACCCTAAACCCTGAACCCCTACCCTAAACATCCCCAAACCCTAGACCCTAGACCCTAGACCCTAAACCCTGAACCCCTACCCTAAACATCCCCAAACCCTAGACCCTAAACCCTAAACCCTCTGGTGCCTTTCGCCGGCTGCGGCTCCGACTCCTTCGGCGGCTGCGGCCTCGCTGACGCACCGATAGCATGGAGGACTCTGGAAGAAGCAGCAGCAGTGGTAGTAGTAGTTGT